AAAAAAAGAAAAGTGCATTTCCTGGGCTGGAGATTTAGCTCAGTGGTGCTGCTGCCTGCACAAGCACAATGTCCTGAGTTCGATCCCCACTACCAAAAAAACGAAAGAACGAAAAGTGCCATTTCCTTAGGAAAATATTAGCTGGAGGTTATATAGGGAATGGCTGACTTTCTCTCCCAATCTATGGATCTTCTCACTGGCTTCACTTAGAATAGAAACTTATAATTTTAGGATCAAAAATTCCCGTGCATGGGCTTTCACTGCAACCTCAAACTAAGCCAGTATTTACAGTATGCATTTTCCATACTGATGACCCTCAGTATTAAGTATATTGAGCATCTGCTATCTATTAGGAAACAGAGGATAAAATTTTTTTTTTTTTTGCACCGGGGATCGAACCCACAACCTTGAGCTTTCAAGGCAGGCAGCGGAACCTCTTAGCTAAATCCCTAGCCTAAGAGAATAAGATTTTTATAAACCTTTTGATTTAATCCATATAACAGCCTTGTAACTGGAGGTAGTACAAGTATAATTTTTATCATCTACAAATGAAGTCTTATGATTTTTCTCAATAACTTTTCCAAAGTTAAACAAGGTGTGACCTGCCAAATATTGTTTCAGCAAGTCAGCAACACGCAATAATAAATGATCATGTTATTTACTGTTGAGAAAGTCTGGTATCTTTAATGTAGTATAATATGATTCACAACCAATTTCAGGGGCATTCCATGTGGAAAACAGGCTTTAAGATTTTACTGAATTTTTATAGCTGTCCAAAAAAATTTTTATCTTTGATACAGGGTCTCACTAGTACCCTAGGCTGGTCTCAAATTTATGGTGATCCTCCTGGTTCAGCCTCCCGAATGCTGGGATTATAGGCATGTGCACCATACCGGGCTCCAAAAAAACTCACACTTTTTTGATGCAACATGGGATAGTAAAAACACCTACAATTGAATATTCTTAAGGCCAGGTGCAGTCCACACCTATAGTTCCAGCTACCCAGGAGGCTAAGGCAGATTGTTGGAACCTAGCAGTTCAAGACCATCCTGGGCAACATAGCAAAAGCCCAATTTAAAACAAATAAAACTATTCTTACCATTAGTCTCTAGCTCTGTAGCCATAGGCAAATTATTATTTCTTGAGTCTCAATACTCATAATTAGCAGGGTTTTTATGAAAATTCACCATCATATATTTAAAGCTTTATTGGTACATATCTAGAAAGTCTTCAGCAAATAGTAACACTATGCCAAGATCTGTCCAGGTAGCCTCCTCACCCCCCAGGGACCCAGCCTTGCTTCTCTGTGGATGGTTCTCATGGGTGACTCCCTCATAGTGCAGGAGGCTGTGGTGCCATCAGCCAGGAGATTCTCACCTATAGGGATTTTTCCCCCTCGTTTACAGTTTTTCCTTAGCAGTCATCTTCAATGTTTATGCTCTCAACAACCTTAATATTAAGCATGACATGACTAGATGTGCCCACAGCAGATTCTCATGTTTACTTTGTAAAAACCAACACATTTTACTGAGCACTTCTTACCAGTGTAATGGTTAATCTTGACTGTTTGCTTGAGTGGATTAAGTGAGGCCTAGAGGGGCAGTTGGACTGAGAATCCTAACCCATCGGTGAATTAACCTACCAATGAGTAGAGTGGAATTAGCTATCAGGAGGTGTGGCCCAGTAGAGGAAGTCCTCATCAGGGGCATGTCTTTGAAGGACATGACTTTTTTCATTCATTTGAACTCACTATTTGGCCCAGATGACCTTGAACTGCCTCAGCCTTAAGTGCTGGGACTACAGAATATTTAATCACACTGGAAGAAGGGTGTATCTTTTTTCCCACCTCTTTTTTCTTCCTGGCTGCTGTGAGGTGAGCAGCATTTGCTGCCATGCCACAGGCCTAAATAAAAGCAATGGAATCACTGACCATAGACCTGAAACTCTTGAAATTGGCCACAATAAATCTTTCCTCTATAAGTTGTGTGCCAGGTTTTTGTTAGAGATGAAAAGTGACTAACACACTGGACAAAGTACTCAGAGAATTACAATTGTTCGCCTGTGGGGCTCAGAGGTGAGTCCAAGGGTCTAGATCAATTCAGCCATGGATGAGTGTCCTTTTACCAACCAACCCAAGAAATCTGCACATAAAGAGTGCTGTGTAAGATACAAAAGTGAAGTGTGCTCCCTCGAGGTCTGCACAGTGAAGCAGACAGTCAGGTGTAGGAAATTTGTATGTAAGCCAAATATTTTGGGCAAGAATTTATATAATTTGACTCAGCTGGGAATTATAAACAAAGTTGATTTTTGTGGTTGTTGTTTTGGTAGTGGGAATTGAACCTAGGACTTCATGCATGCTAACCACTGAGCGTCACTGCAGACTTAAAGTACTTTAAACAAAGTACCCAACTTCATGATGCATTACTGAAGATAAACATTGCTGAAAAAGCTACAGTGGACCTTTGACTTGCAAACTCAATTCGTTCACGAGGGCTGGTGGTAACTCAAGTTGGTCAACTGAAGGCTCAGTCTCCTCTGCACAGCCTTCAAAGTCTCAGTCCTATATACAGGCAGATCTCAGTGTGCTTAAAGAGACATTGGCTCAGGATTTCTCAATTAACGTCACACAGGAAAGGATGTTGCAATGTTCCTTCCAGGGTTAAATCTGTATCTGAGACCATCTGGAAGCAAAAGTGGCTGGCATTCGGGTTGTAACTCAAGACTTTGTTTGAAAGTTAAAACTAAAATTCTGGTCTTAACCCAAGTTGTCTGTATGTGAGGCTAGTTGTAATTTGAGGGTCCACTGTAATTAGAGACCGGGCATTGTGTCCCATGCCTGTTATCTCAGCACTTGGGAGGCTGAGGCGGGAAGATCACTGTGAGTTTGTGGCCAGCTTGGGCCATACAATGAGTTTAATGCCAGACTGAACTACATCCCAAGACCCTATCACAAACAAAAAAACAACTAAGGAAAAAAACAAACAAAAAACCCAAAAGGTGATTAGGTGACAAGTTTTGTTTTGGTTTGGGTTTTAGTACTGGGAGCTGAACCCACCCAGGGTCTCACATATACTAAGAAAATGCTTCACCACTGATCTATACCCCAGCCCTAAGCAAATATACAACTTTATGATGTGTCACTAAACTCAAAAAGCTGTTAAAGTGATAAGTTCTGCATAATTTTTTCTTTTTTTGGTGTTGATGATTGAAGCTAGGGCCTCACACGTGCTAGGCACATGCTCTACCACTGAGCTACATCCCCAGCCCTATATAGAATGAGGTTTTTTTTCTTTTCTTTTTTTTGAGACAAGGTCTCACTATGCAGTTAAGGCTGGTCTGGAACTCACTCTGTAGCCCAGGCTGACCTTGAACTCTCCAGGATCCTCCTGCCTTAGCCTCCCAAGTGCTGGGATTACATGCACTATCATGCCTGGCCTTATACAATTTTTAAAGATAAAGATATTGACTATTCTAAATGCTTTATCCTTTGTTATGTAAGGAAAATGACATCCTATAGTTGGGCTAAGTTTTTTTTGAAAACAAAAAGGAAAAAAGATTACAAAAGGATTTTCAACATTGATTAAAAAAAAACCTTTCCAGGTGTGGTGGTATATATACATGTAATACTAGCTACTTGAGAGGTTAAAGTAAGAGGATCTCAAGTTAAAGACCAGCCTAGGCAACTTAGTGAGACTCTTGAAATAAAAAATAAAACAAAAATAAAAAGGGCTGAAAAATGTAGCTCAGTGGTGGAGCACTTGCCTAGCACATGTAAGGATTAATTTCCCAATACTGCAAACAATTAAACAATAAAAAAGAAAATCTACCTTTGGATTATCTTCCACATTAGCTAAAATATTTGTCTTTCTAGTTTTCACAAATGAAAATTACAAAAGCTGGTAATTTCTTTCTTTTTTTTTTTTAAAGCTGGTAATTTCTCTTTGATTATTGGAATAATTTAGTTGGCTTATCACTACAAATGGTGTTATTAAATACAGCGAACATTAATGAGGTCTGGGGGCACAGCTCAGTGATCAAGCACTTGCCTAGCACATACAAGGCTCTGGATGTTATCCCTAGCACCACACACACATACACAAAAAGATAATAATGAGGATACAAATCATAACACTTGAAACCTCCCTCATTTCAAGGGTGTGCATGTGTGTAATCTATTAAACAAAGAAAAATATCAACCAAATCACCATGACATTATAGAGACAGATTCAAGAGAAAATAGAAAAATGTATTATCCATTAAATTCCTCCATACTAATTCTCAGAAGTAACAACCTGCAGAAATATGTATTAGTGGGAAGGAATTATGTACAGCAGTCAGACGTGACCCTGGAGTAAAAGAGAACTAAGCTTATGTTTGGGGCTTGTTGTATGGCTTTTGGAAAGTTCCTTAATATCCTTTCTTCATCTGTAAATGAGACAATACTCTCTCATTAGGCTGCAGCAAAAACAAAAGAAGATGTGTGTAAAACCAGAGTGTTAGCACACAGAAAAAGCTGAATAATTATCAGGTATTATTATGACAGGTAAAGTTTTTCAAGATACCTATCTGATTATACATTTATATATTTTTTCTATTTACCAAATGACCTAATATTTAAATCTTTTTTTTCAGCACTAGAAAAATGGGGCACTTAATAGAAGCTTTTTTCATTTCATTCATCTTATAAATCTAAATGATCTATGAAAAGAAAAACACATTTTAATGATTCTCCTTATATTTGTCGCAAAGATTACCAATGCTTTTACATGAAAGAGCAAATGTATAGTTAACACACATAATATATAAACCTGAAATTGCCAATCTCTTTGATACTTCTAATACCACTTTCAAATAAGCATGGTATAACCTTAAATATTATTATCTTCAGATTTTTTTTTTTTGGTACTGGGGATCGATCTCTGATCCTTACACTTGCAAGGCAGGCGGCAGAACCACTGAGCTAAATCCCAGGCCCTAGATTTTTTTTGAGAGTTAAACCTCTACGGAGTTTCTTCAATGTACATGTCCATTTGGTATTTGCAGATTTGCAGCACAACTGGATTGATAGCTGTCTCAGCATATGGATGGCTCTTCTACTGCCTGGGCACCCTCTGTGACAGCTTTGACACACTTAGCCATTGTCTGTGAAGCTCTGCTGATGGAATCTGAAAGATATTAAGAAAATGTGCATTTTGTTAAATATAAATATAACTTCTTAGGGCTGGGGATTTAGCTCAGTGGTTCTGGTGCCTGCCTCGAAAACACAAGGTCCCAACTGTGATCCCTGGTACCAAAAAATATATATATATAACTTCTTAAAAAGGACACAGTAAAACCTCTGTTTTCTTTTTTGGAGACAGGGGTCTCATTACGTGGCCCAGGCCAGCCTTGAACTTCCAATTCTCCTGCCTTGATCTCCCAAGTGCTGGGATTATAGGTGTGTGCCACCATGGCCAGCTACATAGTAGAACTTCAATACTGCATATATTCATTCAGGAACGATAATGGGAAGACTAGAAAGCTCTACACAGTCATATGTAACTATAGGTAACAAATCCTTTTTTTTTTTTTGGTACTGGGGATCGAACTCAGGACCTTGCGCTTGAGAGGCAGGCAGTCGCACCACTGAGCTAAATCCCTGGCCCAAGGTAACAAATTCTAAGCCTAAACCCTTTACTGACTAAATGCTTTTAATAACTACACCTAGGAATAATACAATAGATAATTCACCAGTATGCAACCATTAAAAAATTATAAGTCTTCAAATGTGAGAAAAAATGTGCCTAATATCACCTCCCTCCTTCATTCCTTCCTTTCTTTCTTTGAAACAGGATCTCACTACATGGCCCAGGCTGGCCTCAAACTCACAATCCTCCTCTCGTAGCATCCCAAGTGCTGGGATTACAGGCATGTACCGCCACGCCTGGCTCCCAATGCCATTATTGAAACAAAAAAAGGTTACAGAGTAGTTAAAGTCCATTGAATTTCAAACTTGAGTAAATTTTATGATATGTGTGTTATATTTTAATAAAACTACTTCACCATAATAAGAGAATAATCTTGTTTTCTGTTTTCTTTCTTTCTTTTTTTTGGTACCAGGGATCAAACTCGGGACATTGTGCTTTCAAGGCAGGTGGCAGACCACTGAGCTAAACCCCCGGCCCATCTTGTTTTCTGTTTAAATAAAATATGTATATATATCTCTGGAGGATGACTGACCAAAATGTTAAAAGTAATTATAGTTACTTTGTGAGAGCTGCATGATAGTGATTTTTGATTTAGGTATTTACTCAATAATGAACATACTTTTATAACCACACTAAAAAAACCTATTGAATAACCTCAGGTACAAACTGCACACAATAATTCTAAAACAGACTCCTGGAGCTGGGAATACAGCTCAGTGGAAAAGCATTTGCTTAGCATATTCAAGGACCTGGTTTTGATTACCAGCATCACAAATAAAATAAAAAATACTCCTATGTATTTTTAGATTGCAAATTAAGCGGGGTGGAATGGGTCATGTCTATAATTTCAGCTACCCAGGAGACTTATGCAGAAACAGTACAAGACTGAGGCTAGCCTGTCAACTTAGTAAAATCCTGTCTCAAAACAAAACCATACATCAACTGCCTCATAAAACTTGGATGTTTTATCAACTGTTGTCAGACATGCAGAAAGTTTCATTTGGTATGCATTCCTTAGAAACACTGCTAACAATTTACATTAGAAGCAGTGTTTATCATATTTCACATTTAAATGTTTTGATATTTCCACCTACCATTCTCAGAAAAACCTTTGCAGCTATTTATCACTTTGAAAAATCATCCCTAAACTGCACTGCAGTGATTTTCTTTATAATAGCAAAGTTTCATATTTAAAATCTCTTAACTTGCTTTGGATTTTGAAACTTTGCTTGATTTTCAGAAACAAAACAGATTACAGTACAATAAAAAGTAGGATTACATTAGTTCAATGTTTGGAAAAGCTTCGAGAATTAAAAATGGCAGGGCCGGGCATTTAGCTCAGTGGTACCGTGCCTGCCTCACAAGTGCAAGGTCCTGAGTTTGATTCCCAGCACCAAAAACTAAAAAAGGAATTGTTTTGGTTTTTTTTTTTGGTACCGGGGATCGAACTTGGGTCCTTGCGCTTGCGGAGCAGGCAATGAAACCACTGAGCTAAATCCCCGGCCCCAAAAAAAAGAATTGAAAATGGCAAACATTACCGATCACAAATAATCATAATTACCCTGCTAGGTGTACATTTGCATCCTTCGCACTTTTCACACTGACAGCTGTGCCGATGGTACGTACCTGTCATATAGAAGTCCTTTATGGTCAGCTGAGGTGGAACAAGTGGGTCAGCAAGAAGCTGCTGGTTCACTAACTGCAAAAAAGGAGTAAGAAACCAGTAACAGCATTGAAACTAACACGATTACACTATTAACTACACTGCACATGGGCAAGCTCTTACCTTGGAAAGCTCGCTTGCTTGCTGAAAGTAATTCGCTCCTTCAACATCATCATATCGAACAAGATTAGGGGAGACTTCTTCCAATCTGTTCCTTACTTGATCCAGAGTATCATATGGGACAGTAATACCTGCAATCTACAGTAGATTGGATGCCAAAAAATGACAAAGCTTTACTATTTAAAATGTCAGAAGCTAGGTATGGTCCCAGCACTGTAATCCCATCACTCTAGGAGGCTGAGGCAATAGGATCTCAGAGCTGGGTAAGGTGTATGGTTAGGTTCAAGGCACTAGGTTCAATCAAGCACCCCCCCGCATAAGACCTATTATAAAATAAATGATTAAAGAGACCCTACTATGGTAAATCCAAATAGTTCTGCTAACTTGATATTAATCATCTGTAACATTTACAGAAAACTGAAATGGGAAGAAAATGTTCAAATGGGAAGGGGAACAAGGGAGGCAGGAGAGGAAGGAAGGAAGGGACAATAAAAAAAAAAACTGAGGGGTGGGGATTTAGCTCAGTGGTTCTGCTGCTTGCCTTGCAAGCCAAGGACCCAAGTTCAATACCAAAAAAACAAAACAAAACAAAAAAACCTGAAAATAGAAGGGAAAAATGGAGGGTGGGGACCCAGGGATTTAGCTCAGTGGTTCCACTGCCTGCTTCACAAGTGCAAGTCCTGAATTCGATCCCCAGTACCCCCCAAAAAAGGAGGGGGGAATGGGAAAAACAGAAAACAATGTATTGTTATTTTAAATATCACAATATTTATTTTATTATTGTTTATTTATTTTTGGCTTTATGAAACAGAGTCTTGCTATGTAGTTCAGGCTGGCCTTGAACTCATATAGTTCAGGTTGGCCTCAAACTCAAGGCAATCCTCCTGCCTCTTGAGTGCTGGGATTATGGTGTGTGCCACCACAGCTGGCATGATGCTTATTTTATGGCAAAAAGGACTAAAAGAAGTGAGAAGTGTTTTTTAGGCAAAAGATAAAAATAAAAATACCAATTTCAAATCCTCATTTTCTAGGCAGACATAATGGCACATCTCTACAATCCTATCTACTCAAGAGGCTAAAGCAGGATCGTAAGTTTGAGGCCAACCTGGGCAACTCAGTGAGACCTTATCTCAAAATAAAAAACAAAATTGGGGCTGGGGATTTAGCTCAGTGGCTCTGCACCTGCCTTGCAACCACAAGGTCCTGAGTTCAATCCCTGGTATGAAAAAAAAAAAGAAAAAAGGAAAGGAAAGGAAAGAAAGAAAGGGGGGCGAGAAAGAAAGAAAGAAAGAAAGAAAGAAAGAAAGAAGAAATAAATAAATAAATAAAGGTTGGGAATATAGCTCTGTGGTAGAGTACTTGCCTAGCACACCTGAGGCATTGGGTTCAATCCCCAGGAATGAACACAGATATACACATGCACACAAACATGCACGCACACACGTACACACACAAACAAAAGCCTTTTCATTTTCTGAACACATTTTTCCTATAGACATTATTCACATCTTCACTCTTCTTCGGACTGACATTTTCCTTGATTTTGCAAATCATTGTAAAAATTAACATGTCCAATATCCCTTTAACAGCATCATGAAGAAATGCTTCAAAAAGAATACCTCAGAGAGGGCTCGTATAATTTTCCAGTCTTCTCTTGCCAAGCCGGGAGGTGTCACTGCAACTTTGGTTTGCTGAGCTCTGCCCTCCGTATTGACGTAAGTACCCGACTTCTCTGTGTAAGCAGCTCCTGGGAGAATAACATCAGCTATGAGAGCTCCCACGTCACCATGATGCCCTGTGGGAAGAAGGAAAATGGCCACCACCTTTTAGGAAAACGGACTCACTAGTATAAATGACAACAGTTTAGATTCTTTTTAATTCCTGTTTTTATTTTTATTTTTTGCAGTTCTGGGGATATTAGAGGATGTTAAGGAACTGAGTTACACCTTTAGCCCTTAGTTCTTATGTAAAAAATTAGAAAAGTGTTTTTAAAATTAAAACAATAAAATAATAAAGAAATAAAAACTAGGGCTGGGGATTTAACTCAGTGGTTCCACTGCCTGCCTCACAAGCGCAAAGTCCTGAGTTCGATCCCCAGTAGCAAAAAACAAAAATCAAAAAAAGAAATAAAAACTAAACCCATCTCATTCCCACTTTAATATCCTTTACCCCCAAAATTACTGTTAAAAAGTATTTGGTATGCATCTTCCTAGATTATTTTTTAGAAAAACAAAACTACGAGTATCACACACAGGTATGATGTATAACCAAGTACATTCATGGTTACAAAGTGGAGACACTCAGATATACTATTGAAATTTGGCAAAGCAGACTGAAAAGGTGGAAGCATGCAAACTGTAGAGGAGGAATATGATAGTAATAATATTGAAAAAGGCATGAATAGAAAATTACAGAAAATAGTATTCTGAAAGACTATTACCCACCCATTAACAAAAACTGGTAGGGCTGGGGATTTAGCTCAGTGGCACTGTGCCTGCCTTGCAAGTTCAAGGTCTTGAGTTTGATCCCCAGTACCAAAAAAACCCCCAAAAAACAACAACAAAAAACCAGTACAAGAAAAAAGTCACTCAAAAGACAAAAGAAAGGTGTACACTGGAAAATTACTAGAAATGCACATTCTCTGGTATTAAGACCAACTGATTCAGAAAGTCCAGGAATAGGACTCCACAAGCAACCCATGGTGTGACTATAATGTACACCTAAAATTTGAGAAGCATGACTCTAATTCTTAGCTCCTCACCTCTACCTTTGTGTTTCTCATCCTTTAAATACATTTGTAAAGAAATTGATCATATGCTCTAGTGATGGTTAATTCTGGTGGTCAGACTGACTGAATTTAGGGATGCCCAGAGAATTGGCAAAGCACACTTCTGGGTGTCTATCAGGGGGTTTCCAAAGAAGATTAGCCTGTGGGACAGCAAACAGAGAAAGACCAGTCCTGAATGTGGCAGCACCATCCAAAAAGCTGGGGGCCAGGATGGAATGAAAAAGTCCAAGAAAGGGGGAAGCTATCTTGAGCTTGCCAGATCCTTCTTGAGAAAGTGTGTTTTTCTGGTATTGTCTCTGTGGACATCAGACTCCAGGTTCTTCAGCCTTTAAATGGGGACCTGGACAAGTAGCTCTTCAGGGGGCTTTTGAGTCTTTGGCCTCTGCCTGAGACCTCTCTTCTTGGACTGAGCAGCTATAGTTTCCCTGGATCTCCAGCCTGCAGACCACCTTTGTAAGACTATTCAGCCTCTGACTGTGCAAGCTAATCCATTCAATCATCTATTACAATTATAAATATTCTTTTTTTTTTTGGTACCGGGTATCGAACTTGGGACCTTGTGCTTGCGAGGCAGGCAGTGGAACCACTGAGCTAAATCCCCGGCCCTACAATTATAAATATTTTAATGGCTCTGTTCGTCTGGAGAACTCGGATACAGTCCTATATGATTTCACACAGTCTGTATTCTACAGGCTGGATCTTGAAGACTGCTGTTCTATAATAATTTAACACAAATTACTTCTTAAAGAAAATAGTGCCTATGTTAAAATAAAAAGAAAGGTGTACAATATATAGTTTGATTTTGTGTACATAAACATATAGGAAAATGTATGGTACATTGACAACTACCTCTGGAAAGAAGTAGGAATAGGATTTTAGTTTATGTATTTTGGTTTAACTATATCAAAAATACAAAATACTATATAATGTTCTTTGTGGCAATAAAAATCTATTATATAAAATTAAAATGGAAGTATTCAGGGATACACTAATTTCCATTTATTGTAGGAAAACTTGACTACATCTACAACGAGAGTTTAAGAGAATGAATCAAATACAAAGCTATAATGCTACATTAAATATAATTCATGGGAATATAGCTCAGCAGTGCACCATCTGCATGGCAAGCACAAGTCCCTGAGTTTGATTTCCGGTACCAAAAAAACCCAAAACTAAATATAATTCATTAAATTTCTTAGAGGACAGGTGCCTGGTTAATTCTTTACAGTTTTTATAAAGGTTCTTGCCTTGATTATATATTTATAATGCTAAATATTCTTTGAAAAGTTGATTTTTTTTTTTTGAGACAGGGTCTTGCTCTGTAGTTTAGGCTATGCTTGAGTTCAGTATGTAGCCCAGGCTGGCCTTGAACTTGCAGCAATCCTTCAGCCTCAGCCTCCTGAGTGCTGGGATTACAGACATGCACTACCATGCCCTGCTAAAAAGTTGACTTTTAATTCTAATTGTAATCTACTATACGAGTAAGCATACTTTGACTGTTCCTGTTACTGGGCATTTAGATTGCTTCTAATTCTTAGTAAATAACACCTGATAGCTGGGAATGGTGGTACATGGTTGTAATCCCACCACTCTAGGAGGCTTGGGGAAGATGAGTGCAAATTCAAGCTGATCCTAGGCAAATTAACAATTTATTAAGACTGTGTCTCAAAATAAAAAATAGAAAAGGACTGGGGATGCAGCTCAGAACAAAGGCCCTAGGTTCAATCCCTAGTACTGAAAAAAAAAAATAAAACAACTGATCATCTCAATTATTCTTTTTTTTTTTTGGTACCGGGGATCGAACTTGGGTCCTTGCGCTTGCGAGGCAGGTGGTAGAACCACTGAGCTAAATCCTCGGCCCATCTCAATTATTCTTAACAGAAACATCAACTATGTTATAATACCGTTATGATTTGGTTTAAAAAAAAATAGGGTCGGGGAGAGAAAAAATTCTTAAATGGAAAATATTCAGGCCACCAAATGCATTGCCAAATAGTTTTTACTCAACACAATGTCCTGGTATCACAGGTGCTACTTACCTTGATAAATAATAAAACAATCCTTTGGCAAATCATGTCGCGTGATACAACCACCATCTGCTCCTAGGAGGAACAGCACTCTGGGGGGGTTCTTCCGAACTGCTTCCACCCCAGGCTTATAGCCAAGGTCCAAAGCAGCTACCTGGCTTGCAACCCTAGAAAATAATCATGGGATTTTGGCATACTTGCAGTGTTTTCAATATAAACAATGACTGATACCTAACTTCTTTTACATTCAACACTATGAAAGACCTTTTTTTACCCACTTAAATATAAGATGCTTAGGACATCTGCCCTGGGGTCTCTTCATGAGACACTCTACTACCGGGCTGCCCTCCCAGCCTCTCACTACATTATTTACAAGTAGTTAAAAACTGCTGTCAGTGTACATCTTGTACACGTACAAGAAAGAAATAGCTAAATAATTTATAGTATACTTATGATATTAAATAACTATTAAAGTATTTATAAAGGGATTTTTTTGGCTTTTTGTTTGCTTTTAGAGACATAGTATCACTAGGTAGTTCAGGCTGGCCTTGAAGTCACAATCTTATTTCAGCCTTTCCAGTGCTGGGATTACATGTGTGTTCGACTGTGCTCAGCTATTAAGAATTTCCTATCATAGGAGAAAGTTCTTATTTAGCAGTGAGAACCAATAAAAATCAGGATTTAAAACTGTAATCAGTATGGTTCCAACTATTTAACTAAAAATCATTTTCTGAGGAAAAAGCAAAAAAAAAAAATAGAAGGCACTGAAAAGCAATAGTAACTATCTGTAAATGGTTTAATAAGGGTCACTTCTATTTCTGCACACTTCTCTAACTTCTCTAAACTTGCATTACTGATAGGAGGATAAAACCCTAAAAACCTTCAACAGAATTCTCCCATTACCTTTTTTTTTCAAAGAGGGAAAGGTTTGAGCCAGGCATAGTGGTGCATGCCTGTGATCCCAGCACTTAGGAGGCTGAGGCAGGAGGATGGCTGTGAGTTCGAAGCCACCTTGGGCTATATAGAGTTCAGGGCCAGGCTGAACTACACAGCAAGACCTTGTCTCAAACACCAAAAAAATCCAAAACCTAAAAACTATATAAGTAAAGGTGGAAAGGTTTATTTCAGCTCAGTTTATAGAAGTTTCAGTGAACAGCTGACTATCTGGCTTCAACCTACGTTTTTAAATCATTTAACCAAAGCCAGAGCCTTTGTTGCTTTCTCTTGTTTTAACTGGGGACTGAACCCAGGAAGTGCTGGATTACATCTCCAGCACCTCCCCACCCCTTTTTAAAAGACAGTCTCACTAAATTGCTCAGCCTGGCCTTGAACTTGTGATCCTTCAGCCTCCACCAAATACGAGATTATAGACATATGCCACCACATCCAGCTTATTTCAATTTTTGAACCAAGATATAACACATATGATAGTTCTTATAAATTAATTTTTTTCTCAACACTATTTCAGATATTTTAGATCTTTTTTTTCGGTACTGGGGATCAAACTCACAACCTTGCACTTTTGAGGCAGGTGCGGCACCACTGAACTACATCACCACCCCTATTTCACATATTTTAAATATTATTTATTTTCTTGGGTTCCTCTTACACAGAGAATACGGTTTGTATTTCACATCTGCAATGAGGACAATGTTTTAAATTTCATTTGTATACATAAATGCGACAGTGTATTAGGAACACATATACAAAAAACTACTTGAATTTTACTCCACAAACCTGTGCAGGATATTCATAACTTTCCAATCACTAGGCACACCACTAGTCACCCGGATATTCTGCGCGATGCTAGAAACAGCAGTGAGAATTGCTGCCCCATCACTTCTTTGGAGAGCAGAACTGCCTAAAACCACCATTGGTTTTTTAGCTGCCTTTAAGACCTATTTTAAACAACAGGGAGAAAAAACTTTGATTTAAAAACATTATAAGGATTCTAAACACCCACTCATATTTGCATCTACAATCCGCTGTCTTAAATTTGAGCTCTAACATGAAGTGTCTGATTTGCGCGCTGAAACATGGACATAAACACAACCAGTTGGATTAATCTAAAGTATTTTACTGCTGCTACTGTGAAATGGTTGAGTATCAAATACAACAAAATAAAAGTAATGCTTGGTTGCACACACCTGTAATCCCAGCACACTCAGGAGGCTGAGACAGGAAAATCATTGTGAGTTCCTGAGTTTGAGGCCAGCCTGGGCTACATAGTGAGTTCAAGGCCAGCGTCAACTACATAGTAAGTCCTTGTCTCAAAAAAAAGATAAAAACAAACAAACAAAAACCCAGAAATGTTATAGTTTGTATTTATATGTCCCCCAAAAGCCTCATGTGGTCATGGGTGGGAGTTTCAAAGGTGGTCGGATTAGGGTGTGTGGTGCTGGGATTAAGGGTGCCCCATCCTGGGTCTGAGTGGTAACACCCAAAACCAAGTAGCCTGGATGGAATATAAAGGAACAGAAAGAAGTTGCTTTGCTTCTTCAGTGCCTTGCTGCCTTCTGCCTGTCCTGCCGTGGACTGTTTCTCCTTTGCGATCCCCCTCTGCTACGCCACCCTGCCTTGCAGCCAGCCAATCATGGACTGAAATCTACAAACTGTGAGCCGAAATAAACCTTTCCTCTTCTTTCATCCTTTAACTTTGGGTGCTGGGTATTTTGTGTTAGCAATGACAAAAGAAACTGAGACAAGCATGTATACTATGATCTCAGTTTTTTTTTTACATAGCCATACACCTTGCTCTTTTTACAGGTAATTATGATGTTTCATCAGGATCTGTTTTGGGGTGGTAGGATTGCAGGTCATGCTTTTTGCCTTGCACATGTTAGGCAAGTGCTCTACCACTGAGCTACAGCTTCAGCCCCATGCTGCACCACCTTCCATGTTTTCTGCATTTCTAAAATTTTTAACAGCCAGGCATGGTGGCACATACCTGTAATCCCAGCACTCAGGAGGCTGAGGCAGGAGGATCACTGCAAGTTAGAGGCCAGCCTGAGCTACACAGTGAGTTTAAGGCCAGCCTGAACTACATAGTGAGACCTTGTCTCAAAAAAAAAAAAAAAAAAAAAAAAAAAAAAAAAAAAAAAAAAAAAAAAAAAAGGGCCAGGGATTTAGCTCAGTGGAGTCACACCTGCCTTGCAAGCACAAGGTCCTGAGTTTGATTCCCCAGTACCAAGAAAACAAATAAATAAATAAATAAAAATTTTAATAATCACACACTGTTATACAAAGACAATATATTTTTTAACTAGTTATTAAAGATCAACAACAGCAGATACATCTAAGTTGAGAGCACCTGGCTGAAAGGATGGCTTCCCGAAGCAATGTCTTGCAGAACTTTGGGGGACTCGCCCAGGTGGTCGTATCTGTAAGTGAGGTCCACTGGACTGCCTATCAGGGCCACTTGTAAGTCATTATGAAGCCAACTGAAATAAAAACACTTTTTAGAGCCAACTAAATTAAGTACAGCCTTGGCCTTCTCAATGCGAAGTCCTACCTTTATTTATAATTATAAATTGCTAAAAGAACATTAAACCTTAACAAATAGAATTTACTGTATACCTTTCAAAACAGTGTTGCAAAAATACATGTTAAGGCAATTCAATGCATTAATTTTCTTTGTAGGAATGCTTTGGGTTTTTTGGTTTTTTTTGGTACCGGGGATCGAACTCGGGTCCTTGCGCTTGCAAGGCAGGCGGCAGAACCACTGAGCTAAATCCCCGGCACAGGAATGCTAACTGTAAGTCACTTGCAAACAAAGACTTTGATTTTAGAATACTTATCTAAAGTTTCTATTTTGTAGTATTTATATGGCAGGTCAATTATTTCTGAATTATTCATTAAGGGCATTTAAACATTGTTTATGAAAATAAACTATACCATTCATATTTATTCTTTATGACCAGGAACTATGAATCTACCTTCTTTGAAAACAATTATAAGTGCAATGGTTTCTCTGAAACAGAGCTAGGTTTTACCTGTTACACTGAAATAACTAGCGACTCCCTCTTTCACTCTCAACATTTCCCCAGCTTAGACAATAAATTATGTGACTGTCATTTTATAAGTCTCTAAGATACGAAACCATAAGGATGGGGAAGTGTTCTACAAAATAATTCACCTGTCCTCTTTTTTTTTTTGGTACCGGGGATTGAACTCAGGACCTTGTGCTTGCAGGGCAGGTGGTGGAACCACTGAGCTAAATCCCCGGCCCCACACTGAAATATTTAGGTACCATGCCTGCACTTATTTCCAGATGATTCAGGATAATATGTATGATCCAGATGAGAGATACAACACACACACACACACACACACACACACACACGGTATCATACAACAAATACCACAAAATGTTAACTTCAGTTAATCTGGGTAAAAAATGTTTGAAAAGTGCTTATGCAAAGACCATTTTAAACACCTTGAATTATTTCCAAATTACAAATGAACAAAATAAAGAGATCAGTCATGGTGGCTGGAAGGATGGACCTGTTAGAAATGCACTTCAATTACCTTCTGAAATCTCATTACAACTAATACTTAAGAATCTTCTAAAATTCTAT